GGACTCATGCCCATTTTACACGTCGTCCCCAATAACCGTTGCGGGGTAGTTCGTACGTTTACAGTCTGGTACCATTTGATGCGTGAAACTGGAGTGATTGACAGTCGTTTTCATGTCCTCTTCAAGGGCCACACTCGGATGTGCGGATGAGATGTAAGTGAATATCCTCGTGCAGCTGCACACTGCTCTGCGGTGTGGGGCGAGGGGGGGGAGCGAGGGGGGGAGCGACGGGGGGGTGCGAGGGGGGGAGCGGGGGGGGGAGCGACGGGGGGGGGAGAGCAATGGGGAGAGCGAGGGGGGGGAGGGGGGGGAGCGACGGGGGGAGGGAGCGACGGGGGGGGGAGCGACGGGGGGAGGGAGCGACGGGGGGGGGAGCGACGGGGGGAGGGAGCGACGGGGGGGGGGGAGCGATGGGGGGGGGGAGCGACGGGGGGGGGGGGGAGTGAGGGGGGGGGGGAGCTTTAAGTGGTCGTGTGGCCGAGACGCCACCGCCTCTTTGCTGGCCAGACGGCTCCAGGGGGCCCATTGCCACCATTGCCACCATTGTGCAAACGCGGTGGCAGCGCTGCCGAAATCCTGGCTTTGATTGTGGATATCAAACATTGCAAATCACATTTCAAGTATATCAATGTGATGTGTAAAAGCCTTTTATAACCCCTGGCTCCGCATGGTTTTTGGGTTTAAAAAAAATTGTGGATTTTAAATTAACTGGATCAAAAGTGTCGTGAAGACGAAATGTGTTGTTGAAGGCCACCCCACACCCCCACAATTCAACGTAGAAACACACGCAGACAAAGATCACCTGCATAGCCATACGGTTTGGTGGGGGCAAGTGCTGTTAGCGAGGACCTCTTTAGACTGGTGTGCGGTGCACGAGCGGGAGGTGTGGCGAGCACACCATGCCCAGTGATGATGATGATGACGATGGTACACTGTACCTGGTATTCATTTAAGGCTGAGTCGATTCGGGCGGGGGGGGGGGGGCTGGTAGACATCCAATAGCGATAGCAAACTTCAGCAAGCTTTACCAGCGGTTGACGAGGTGTTCAAAGCGGACTTTTGGACGCGTGACGGACACACACACGAGGTGTAAAATCTGTGCGAGAAGGTATGAAATAAAATTGCGCGTGGTGCTTGCGCGTGCCGGTGATCCAGCGTGCGGTGACTCGCGCAGATCCTAAAATCGGGGTCCCAGTACGACGCCAAACGACGCAGTGCTTGACGTGAAGGGATGGTTAGACGTGAAGGGATGGTTAGACGTGAAGGGATGGTTAGACGTCAAGGGATGGTTAGACGTGAAGGGATGGTTAGACGTCAAGGGATGGTTAGACGTGAAGGGATGGTTGGACGTGAAGGGATGGTTAGACGTGGAGGGATGGTTAGACGTGGAGGGATGGTTAGACGTGAAGGGATGGTTAGACGTGAAGGGATGGTTAGACGTGAAGGGATGGTTGGACGTGAAGGGATGGTTGGACGTGAAGGGATGGTTAAACGTGAAGGGATGGTTAGACGTGAAGGGATGGTTAGACGTGAAGGGATGGTTAGACGTGAAGGGATGGCTAGACGTGAAGGGATGGTTAGACGTGAAGGGATGGTTAGACGTCAAGGGATGGTTAGACGTGAAGGGATGGTTAGACGTGAAGGGATGGTTAGACGTGAAGGGATGGTTAGACGTGAAGGGATGGTTAGACGTGGAGGGATGGTTAGACGTGAAGGGATGGTTAGACGTGAAGGGATGGTTAGACGTCAAGGGATGGTTAGACGTGAAGGGATGGTTAGACGTGAAGGAATGGTTAGACGTCAAGGGATGGTTGGACGTGAAGGGATGGTTAGACGTCAAGGGATGGTTAGACGTGAAGGGATGGTTGGACGTGAAGGGATGGTTAGACGTGAAGGGATGGTTAGACGTGAAGGGATGGTTGGACTTGAAGGGATGGTTAGACGTGAAGGGATGGTTAGACGTGAAGGGATGGTTAGACGTGAAGGGGTGGTTAGACGTGAAGGGATGGTTAGACGTGAAGGGGTGGTTAGACGTGAAGGGATGGTTAGACGTGAGGGGGGGTTAGACGTGAAGGGATGGTTAGACGTGAAGGGATGGTTGGACGTCAAGGGATGGCTACACGTGAAGGGATGGTTGGACGTGAAGGGATGGTTAGACGTGAAGGGATGGTTAGACGTGAAGGGGTGGTTAGACGTGAAGGGATGGTTAGACGTGAAGGGATGGTTGGACGTGAAGGGATGGTTAGACGTGGAGGGATGGTTAGACGTGAAGGGATGGTTAGACGTCAAGGGATGGTTGGACGTGAAGGGATGGTTAGACGTGAAGGGATGGTTACACGTGAAGGGATGGTTAGACGTCAAGGGATGGTTAGACGTGAAGGGATGGTTAGACGTGAAGGGATGGTTAGACGTGAAGGGATGGTTAGACGTGAAGGGATGGTTAGACGTGAAGGGATGGTTAGACGTGAAGGGATGGTTGGACGTGAAGGGATGGTTAGACGTGAAGGGATGGTTAGACGTGAAGGGATGGTTGGACGTGAAGGGATGGTTAGACGTGAAGGGATGGTTGGACGTGAAGGGATGGTTAGCGTCGCAGCGGAGCGCGCCTGGACGCGGCGTAGCGGGGAGTTTGCTGGATCCAAACGCCTCCCAAGCGCCTTGACCTCGTCGCGGGCTTCTCCACTTTCCACTGAAAAAGCATCACTGCCAAAATGACGTTACCCTCGCAGACGGTCGTTGACGAACGCGCGTCGCTGCGTCTCCTGTAACAACAGCCTGGCTGTGGCAGCTGCGTGGCTGTCCCCTGCCGTGCTCCTATCGGCTTATGGTAATGCTTATGGTAATGCTCGTGGTTATCCTCATCGTTATGCTCGTGGTGATGTTCATGGCGATTCTCATGGAGATTCTCATAGTGATGCTTATTGTGATTCTCACGGTGATGCTCATGGCGATTCTCATGGCGATTCTCATGGAGATTCTCATTGTAATGCTTATTGCGATTCTCATGGAGATTCTCACGGTGATGCTCATGGCGATTCTCATGAAGATTCTCATGGAGATTCTCATAGTGATGCTTATTGCGATTCTCATGGAGATTCTCACGGTGATGCTCATAACGTTTCTCATGGAGATTCTCACGGTGATGCTCATGACGATTCTCATGGAGATTCTCACGGTGATGCTCATGACGATTCTCATGGAGATTCTCACGGTGATGCTCATGGCGATTCTCACGGTGATGCTCATGACGATTCTCATGGAGATTCTCACGGTGATGCTCATGGCGATTCTCACGGTGATGCTCATGACGATTCTCATGGAGATTCTCATGAAGATGCTCATAGCGATTATCATGGAGATTCTCACGGTGATGCTCATGGCGATTCTCACGGTGATGCTCATGGCGATTCTCACGGTGATTCTCACGGTGATGCTCATGGCGATTCTCATGGTGATTCTCATGGCGATTCTCACGGTGATTCTCATGGCGATTCTCGCGGTGATTCTCATGGCGATTCTCACGGTGATTCTCACGGTGATTCTCATGGCGATTCTCACGGTGATTCTCATGGCGATTCTCACGGTGATTCTCATGGTGATTCTCACGGTGATTCTCACGGTGATTCTCATGGCGATTCTCACGGTGATTCTCATGGCGATTCTCACGGTGATTCTCATGGCGATTCTCACGGTGATTCTCACGGTGATTGTCATGGCGATTCTCACGGTGATTCTCATGGCGATTCTCACGGTGATTCTCATGGCGATTCTCACGGTGATTCTCATGGCGATTCTCACGGTGATGCTCATGGCGATTCTCACGGTGATGCATGCACGAACGGGAATGGCTGTATGGCTGCAGAGCTATTCAACTATTACTCTTCAACTAAACTATTTTATTTCACCAGGTAAGGCCCACTGAGCTACGTAGCTCTTTTTCAGTAGCGACTTGGCCACAAATGACAGTTCAACTAAGTGGCTTATCACGTGAGATGTTTCGCGGCCAAATACTCGTAGACGCGTGATGTTGATTCTAAATGTGGAGGGAAAAACCGGTGGACCCGAAGACAAAAACCCTCGTGACCACGGGGGAGAGAGAGACACGCAAACTCCAAACATACAGCAGCAGCAGCAGCTGTCGTTAGGGTCGGGATCGAACCCACAAGGTTGCTGGACTCGCCTTATTAGCAGCAATAATCCACTTTCCACCCTCCACTCCCGGTGAATTGGTGGATTGCCATGGTTCAGGATTCTGTTCAGAATATCAACAAACTTTATCGTGTGATTTATACCCTCATATATTTGTATATATGTTAACAAAAACTAAACTCTTTTTTTTTATTTTACCAGGTAAGGTTCAGTGAGCTACGTAGCTCTTTTTCAGAAGCGACTTGGACCATCACAAATGATAGCTCAACGAAGTGGCTCATCACGTGGAAATATATCACAGCCAAATACTCTTAAGCGCATGTTTCTAAATGTAAAGGGAAAAACCAGAAGACCCGCGGAAAAATCCACGTGACCACGGAGAGAGCGACGCGGAAACTCCACACATACAGACGTCAGGGTCGGGGTTGAACCCACGACCTCCTTGTATACCAGGCGAGGGAGATACCACTCCACCACCGTGGCATCTCGTGTTCGTGTATGTGCGCGTGATGACCTGCGTGCAAGCTGTGCTTAACGGACCTCTGGTGTAATTGTGGGACGGTGGTTTCTGCTGGCATTCGTCGTGTTCACATTGTAGTACAGCAACATTTAGCTCGGGTAGGAATGGATGCAATGTTCTTGCTGGGACGGATCCTCAGATTGTCGTTTGCAGTTCTGAGAAATGGCAGCCTTTAGAACCACCCAGGCTTGTGGAGGTGTGTTCGCGCTACGTGTGCGTGCGTTGATACGCCGCACACCCTTGCACCCGAGATGCTCCAGCTCGAGGAATTTGCCAAGTGATTAAATCGAAGTAAAAATTGGACTGATCTCGCGTCTGTTTGCCATTTCAGACGCTGATTATTGTGGCGACACGAGGTTTCTAAAGGTATTTCTACATACACGGCGTAACGCGCACACGTACACGGCGTTACGCACACACGTACACAGCGTTTAATCGAAACATCTTGAAGTTCGCCGCTATGTTTGTAATGAAAGAGATCGCGGAGTAAAATTACTCATGGCCGTGCGTGATTGATTTTTGGGTGAGGCCATTATTGTCATGAAACCCTCCACCACCCGACATAGCCCAAACAAATTAAAATTTCACGTGCTGTGCAACTGTGAGTTGAAGAACAGCCATAACCACCTTCGGTGAGAGTGGCTGACGATGCGTGGCGGAGTTTCAAGAGAATCGTCTTCACTGCTCAATGAGGCCATGAGGGCTCTTCTTCACCTCGCCGGTGAGTGAGCTGAAGCAATCGCCACGGCGCGTTAAAAACTCGTGCACCGCATGACGATTGCAGTGGTTTGGCTTGACTTGTGGGGGCGGTGGAGGTTTTTGCGACAAAAAACAATTGGGCTGGATCATTGCGTGGCCTCAACTCAACGGTCGACGATGAATCATGGTTAGTGGCTGCAAAATCCAACATGTTCAGGTAATGTATTTTATCTGCAAGGCTCTGGTGTTCTTAGAACAATCCCGTAGAGCTTAGGCCTTCTCGACTCCACTGGGCTCCTGTTCCCTCGGCTCATTTGGTGCTCGAGTGTTGGTTTTGTGTGTGTGTGTTTGTGGGGAGCGGCAGTGCAGCGGTTAGCGCTACGCTGCGCTACGAACCCGGCACCCGAGTTCGATTCCTGCTCACGACCAACACCAGCGACGATTGTCCGAACCGCTCCTGGACTTCACCTAGGTCTGCTCTGAGTAACCGGAGTGGTGGGTGAACATCGCCACTGGGGAGACAAAGGCGGCCAGGCGTAGCGTTGCCCGCTCGTGCAGTGCCGGCCTTCATAGGTGCTCACCGACAACACTTGCCCCAACAGTCTGTTGAAGGCTATAGGGGGATCTTTGTCTCGTGGGGAGGACCTGCACACCGTGTGTGCACACAAAGCGGCAGGCCCAGAGGACAGATGCACCAGGGCGGCTCACTGGGTGCACGTGCGCGCCCTCGGCTCCCGCGATGCGCCGTTCGATTTAAACTGCACACGGTTCACGGCATGTGCCAGCGCGCTAATGGAATGGTGCAGTCTATCAGGCCGCTCTGGATGTACTAAGTAATTGCCATTGTTAGAAGGCATTTTGCGTTCCGATTGTTGCGGGGCAGAGGGACGTATTTGCGAGGTGTCGTCGCACCGTGGCAGTGCCGCGTAGCTTCTTGGGCTCGTTGGCACGTGAAATCGGGTTCAGAATCATCGGAATATTTATTTATTCTGGAGGAATCCGATGAGCTGTAAAGCTCTTTTTCACAGATGTCCAGTCGGGGCAGGTAAGAACCTTACAACAACCAACAGTACAACAACACGACAGTAGTGCAAAGTTCATGAAAGATAAACAAATCACCCAAACACAAGCGGCCTTCATCAGGTGAAGGGGCGAGACTGTCTGGTAGGACAGCGCTGTCCTACCAGACAGTCTCGCCCCTTCACCTGATGAAGGCCGCTTGTGTTGTGGCCGAAACGTCGTGAGAATATTATTGTGTTATTTTATTTTATCAATTTATTACTTTATTCTCATTCTACGTGACTTTACCGAAAGAACCAAAGAAGATGATTCATTGCAGTCACGAAAGCTTTAAATCGAAATTTAAATCACCCAAACATAAACAAATACAACCACTAATCCATCCCCATCCTACCAGACAAAGCCCACTGAGGTATTAACTTATTTTTTGAAAAGCAACCTGGCCACGAATGATTGCAGCAAAATAATCTAAACACTCTAAATGCACGTTTGTAAATGGGGAGGGAAAAACTGGAGAAAAAATTCCACGTGACCACGGTGGGGAGAGAACATGGAGACTCCAAATTCACAGCAGGCGCCAGGGTCGGCCTCGTGTGTGTTGGCCGGAGTGTCAGTAAGAGCCTGTTTGTGTGTCCCACTCGCTCAGTGTTGTTCAAATAATAAATAACTTCCATGTATCTCTCGACGTACGATAAATATTTGCCCAGGTGGCTCGGTGGAAAGTGTGAGTGGCTCGCAATCAGAAGGGTGTGAGTTCAACTCCCGGTTGGCGATTGACTGCGATTGGACATCTGTGAAGAAGAGCTTCTTTGCTTGTCGGATTTCTCCAGCATAAATAAAGATTCTGATTCTGCTTCAGCCCATGATCCTTCTTGGGTCTATAAAATAGGTGCCACTTTGTGGGATCGTCAGCAGTGGTTGTCCACTGCTGACAAAATACTCACACCAGCCATAGCAATGTGGAATGTCCACGACTGGCTCTGGGTTTTTAAACAGATGAGCACCGCCTCAATGCTCATTTGAGCAGCAGGAAATCACTTTGACTTCATATTTAAAATTACTTATGGACATTTTCAATATAATATATTAATTTTGGATTTCTTCGTATACTTTGCTTGACAAACTCTTTGGTTCTTTCGGTAAAACAAAATAAAAAATAATATATTATTTCGTTTTCTTTTTCTACCCACGTGACTTTACCGAAAGAACCAAAGAGTATGGATTCCTGCAGTCACGAAAGCTTCAAATCAAGACTTTTCCTTGCCGTGTTATACGCAGCTCATTGTGTTCGGAGACACTGTTTATTGAGCAGAACATCACTTTGTTTTAAAAAAAACCTAAATGTAACTTTTACATTCATCAGCCTCTAGGCATTTGTGTAAATAACTCATTCTCGGCCAGTTTCTGCCTTCGGGATCTCATCAGCAGTCTGCCTTGTTAAATAATTGCTACTGTGTTTACCATGTGTTTTTGGCAATAAAACTCCATTGTTATGGTAGGGCAAAAACACTATCATAAACAACTGATTACGTACCAATGTGGAGCGGTGGCTAGGAGATGTTAACTACCTCGCTTGGTATACATGAGGACGTGGGTTCGATCCCGACTCTGACCCCTGTATATGTCGAGTTTACATGTCTCTTTTCCCGTGGTCGCATTGATTTTTCTCCGGGTCCTCTGGTTTTCCCCTCCACATTTAGAATCAACATGCGTTTAGAGTATTTGGCTGCTATGCATGTCCACGTGATAAGCCACATCATTGGGTTATTGTTCGTGGCCCGGTCGGTTCTAAAAAGAGCTTTACACAGCTCAGCGGGCCTTACCTGGTACAATAAAATATCGTTTAGTTTTAATATATAACTAGGCTCCCATTGATAGTTGTATACGATTTATTGGTCTGCACAGCCCATAGGCTGATGGAGGTGGTGAGTCTAAGCATAGGAAAACCACTTGACTTTTGCATATAGTGGTATTAATTGTATCCCTCCCAAAGGAATGATTGGCTGAGTCATCCCCTAACCAGGATTGAACTCGCAACCTTTTGATTGGGAGCCGCTGGCTCTGCCGCTGAGCCACCTGGCCGGCTATTTACTCTCTTACCCACGTTGCTCCACTCTGACACACCGTTAATAGAGGTGTTAATGTTTAATAATGTGTGCCTGAGTGTGTCCAAGTCGACAGCATAGCCGCAGTGTTCCTGACTTGCGAACTAGGAAGTCGTGCATTAAGATCCTTGCTGGATGTCAACTCAGCCCATCACCTCCTGAAGGGGTTGATAAAATAAGTACCCACGGATGGGGGAGGACGTGGCGATCACGAGGAGTGAGATTTATACCGCGCAGGATATAGAATGAAGATGATGTACAAGGCCGGGGCGGGTGAGTAATGAGGCTGAGGTGGGATGGGGGATGGGGTCAGGGGAAGGGCTTGGTTAATAAAGGGGAGCGGGTTTCTGGGACAGGCGGAGGGAGGAGGCAGCGATGGAGATGAGCCCCATTGAGGTCACGCTTCCACTTGGACTGTGCGCCACCTCTTTCTCTACATCAGTCGTACCGCTCGCTCCTCGGGCGTGATATCATTCGGCAAAAGCGGTGTCTGCTGAGTGGGAAGTGAGCACAGGACGGGGGAGGGGGGGGGTCTGATTGCCGTGACCGGCATCGGAGCGGTTTCCACGAGTCCAGAGACCAAGGGATGTTGTGATGAGACAGTCAGGGCCGATCTATGGGTCTCTGTGTGAGTCTCTGGGTCTCTATGAGTCTTTGGGCTCGGACGTCGTGGCCGCGATGTTCGCCACTCCCTTCGCCCACCGTTGCGTTCACCTCTCACCTGTGCTCGTAATCTCGTGTAGCGGGTAACCATTTACCCAGCACCGTGTGTTTTCCCCAATTAGGATAAAGTCTTAGTGGGGGTATTGGTATATTTTTTTCCATTTTTAACCGAGTTATTGTGTTTGTTACCTCTAGAATAGTAGATTCAAGGTAAATGTATGCGCAGAGTAATTGCTGTTGCATTTTTAAAATCCATGCTCATGTGGATTAAGAGGTTGTCCACCGTTATTAATGTTTGCCAATGTCTAATGTAGCTGCCATCATCACCATCATCGCCTTAATGTATAATTGATTGTAATGAGTGTCCAATGTGGAGATCACCGCACACGAGCCTGCGCTTGCTTCATGCGTGCAGCCTTTTTTATGTTTCCACGGGGAATCCCGCGGTGAGGGTAAAAGGGGCCCGAAGGTGCCCATTGTACGACGGGACGCGAAGCCACGGGAGTGAGAGGCTACGTCTTGTGCGTGGACAAATACAACGGGGAAGTGCGGTATCAAATATTTAGCAAGATTCAAGAAAGACTCAAGATAGCTCGTGCCTCAGGCGTTGGCCATCTTCTCCTTCCTCCCTCCGGCTGCTGATGTAGATGCAGAGCAAAAACTACAATTTCACATTCAGATGGTCAAGCCAGATAACTGCGGCAGGAGCAGCAGAGTGTATCGCTGTGATGTCTCCTTGGTATTTGTGGATCGGACGTTGGCCATAAACCATCATAACTAAACATATTTTCAGCTAGGTTCGGAGGCAGCCAAGGAATTGGCTGTCATATTTTTTAAATGAGCGTCGCTTCCACGAGCATCTGGGGCCATGCTCAAGGA